ATAATAATCACCTGTAGCGCTATTAAGCGCCCACGTTTAGATTTATCTTGGTTTTCTCTCAGCGCTGCATTTTGTGTTTATGATTGTTTAGAGGGCAAGAGGTTTCACCTTTAACGCCAGCAGCTATACAACCAATGTGCTCACTTTTACCTCTTATTAACAAAAGCAATGATCAAGGCCCGATTTCTGCCTGTGGATGAAAGCGGTGTGGAAAATGCTAACTGACTGGCTGTGCAGGTCTATAGGGGGACCCAATTTCATTGGCAATTCCTAAGGGGGTAGTGCTACACATTTAATATTTGCTCTGTTTTTTTTTCTCCCCCTCAGAGATTGTTTCATTTAACACTCTGCGAAAACTTTGTGAAGTAGTATTGCTTGGACCTTGAAGAAGGGGACATACCCCGAAAGCTTGTCCTGAAAATTGTATGTGAGTGCAAATAAAAAAAGTATCGCGGACAGTACTCAATATTTGCTCTGAAAGACTGGAAATACCAACACACTTAAACACCTCGAGCTCTGTTCAGCGACTGGGAACACCTGTCCTTGTCTGTCATCCTTATCACTTATTAGTAGTGTCTTATCACATATTAGTAGGCTCTTATCACTTGCTAGTACTGTCTTATCACTAAGTGACAGTATATGTGCTAAGAATAGCAGGCATTGTGCTTTATTGCAGCCAGTGGTCAAAATAAAGTCAGATAGTATGGCTGGCATGCTGATTACTGATATTGCCCAATTAGCACAGGCTAAGCCTTTCATGGTGGCACACGGCACAGATACTAGTCACAGTGGAGTCACTACAGTGTATAGGTATGAGAGCGAATGAAAGAAAGGGAAGAGCGAGATTACTGAACGTACATTGGAAACATTATTGGGGCGTAGTGCAGGGACTGTATTTTGTTTCCAAACCAATCAGTAAATACTCTGTAATTATTCAGTAGCTTCTCTAGATAATTCATTCCCTAATTTCCTGGTCCAGGAACACTGAGAGAGATGAGAGGATACTTTACTAATGATCACACACACAGCAGTGAAAACCTGAAAGTTGTACCTGTCTATCTGTTTTCTTCTCTTTTCTACATCTGTACAAAGTGCTGAATGTATTATGGTGTCCGTTTATGACACAGAGAATAGCTGCGATTCAACGGATCTCAGCTATATTCTCTGGTCATTCACAGTTTATGACACTCAGGAGATCATGTCAGCCCTTCACTGGAGATCTGTGTTCTCCCTCCAGATTCTCCTGCCCAGAGCTGGAGAATCAGAGGGACCGAAAACTAAGCAGAGATAATTTACCTCTGTTTAGTAAACTGATCTTTTACTGTAATCTCGCGAGATTATAGTAAAATCAGCCGTTTTCCAGAGTTTGTAGACCGTTCTCCAGCGGTTGGAGACCGTTCTCCTTCGTTCGGAGAACTGCTTCATAAACTGCATTCACAGGAGAACTGCGTTCTCCGAGAATGCCGGAGAACTGAGCAGCGATCTATTACCGCTGTTTCATAAACGGACACCAAAGCCTGTCTGAGAATTCTGAAAAACAGGGGGCAAGATGAAATTACAGAGATCAGTGAGAAAAGAACTGAGAGATGATTGGAGGGAATTCCCATGCCTTTCACATAGCTCACAAGAACAGAGTTGAGGCTGTCAATCTGCTGGAGGTCCCTCCCCTGTCACCATTTTTCTCTTGGTGTCAGGAAAACTTGTCAGATGTGATTCATGCTGATAGCATAAGAACAAAGCAGCAGACAGAAATGATTATTATTATTATTATTATTATTATACAGGATTTATATAGCATCAACAGTTTGCGCAGCGCTTTACAATATAAGGGAGACAGTACAATTACAATACTTTTCAGTACAGAAGGAATAGGAGGGCCCTGCTTGTGGAGCTTACAATCTAAAGGGCAATGAAATGGCAAGAAATTACACTTTGGGGGAGATTAACTAAAACTGGAGCACACTGAATCTGGTGAAGCTGTGCATAGTAACCAATCAGTTTCTAGCTTCAGCTTGTTCATTTAAGCTTTGACAATAAAACCTAGAAGCTGATTGGTTACTACACACAGCTGCACCAGATTCAATGTGCTCCAGTTTTAGTAATTCTCCTCCGTTGTGCCCTTAATAGAGACAAGTACACACTATAGAGAGATATGTGTTGTTCATATTTCATGTCAGAGGTCTACAACCACTTAAACCTCTTGTCAGTTATGTAGTATCCATCCGCTGGCCATGTATCCACGATAACCTAAGGTTGTGTGCTGAGGGCGTGCTCACTGCACTCTCCCAGCACACTGACCATGCTGTCACGGCTTCTGATAGGGAGTCCACAGGACAGGCTCTCCACCATGTGATCGCTGTGAGCCAATCACAGCAGTCACATGATAAAAAAGCAGTGCCACCTCCTGGGCTTTAAAGACCGCTTAAAGAGCCACCAGAAGGCAGTGTGAATTGGTTAAAACTTAGAGGCCCAGACCAAATTTAGCAACATCAGTAAACTTGACTATAACTCTAATACTCATTTTTCAGTTTGCAAGGAAAGTGCACATTGGTAGATGAGCATTCCTAGTCCTCTACTGCAACATTAATGAATATTCTAACAGAACAAGGTATTGTGCAGAAGAGCTTAAGAAAAGGCTTATTGCAGTCACACAATGGTTAAAAAGATCCGTGGGCACCGTCTGTCTAACTCGCTAATTGAGATCAATGGGGCCTCACTGCATCCGCCAGCCAAATGTTCGGCTTGCAGCTGCGGCGCTGTCCCACAATGTAAAATTGCTGTTCAACAATTAACAAAGAAAAAAAAAGTAATAAGCCAGCCTCTGCACTACCACCCTCCGAGAAAGAAGCCACTGTGAATCACTTTTCTGAAGGCAGCTTATTACCTGTCTGAAAGAACCCTTAGTGATTTGATCAGCTGCTGAAAGTGCTTAAGGAATATGTAAACCCAACATTTCATATGACTAATATGTGCCTGCTGTACCATGTACTTGTATGAAAAAGTATCCTCTTCTCTTTGTATTGCTTCCTTTGTGTTAAATTCCTGGTGTTTCTGCCAGTCCCTCTGCTTTTGTATTAAAAACTGACTACACTAGGCATGAGAGCACAGCGTGGTCAGTTCTCTAGCTGTGCTGGAGCTCAGTCTGCTCTCCTCTAATGGTCAGACCAGGGGGCAGACTGACAACGCATGGGACCCCCGGGCAATAGGGGATAATGGGGCCCCTGTGTCCTCGTCCACACTCAAACCACACCCAAAACAGCCTATGAAAGGTACCAGGGGCATCTCATGGGACCCCTACTGACCCCGGGCCACACGTTCTCCTGCACAGCCATTCATTGGGAAGATTAGTTTACTGCTGCTTCTCCTCCGCTAGCTCTCTAAGCTCCTTATGCAGCTGAGAACAGAGGGTATGTGATCACTTAAAAAACGGTGAAAAAGAGTAGTTTATAAAGTGTTTTATTTATTTATTTCAGGTACTTATATACCACCATCAATTTATGTAGTGCTTTACATATATATATATTGTACATTCACATCATTACCTAGCCCTCAAGGGGTGTACAATCTATGGTCTGTAACTTACATTCATACATACACATACTAGGGCCAATTTAGACATGATCCAATTAACCTACCAACATGTCTTTGGAGTGTGGGAGGAATGTGGAGGAAACCCACGCAGGCACAGGGGGAGAACATGCAAACTCGAGGCAGGTGGTGCTGTGGCTGGGATTTGAACCAACAGCAATAGCACTGCCAGGCGGAAGTGCTAACCATTTAGCCACTGTGCTGCCTATCATTTCTTTTTTAAACTGAATGGGCTGTTTTACAAGGTGTGGGTTCACATATACTAAAAAATGGAAGATTTAATAATACTTTACATATATCTGTATGAATGAAAACATCTTAAAGAATATAAAATAATATCGTTCTGGTTTTACTATTTAAAAGAGCAATCAGGCACAGCTCCAAGCTTTTACCACTAGATATATTTTAAAGGCATGAGCATGCACTCCGTTATCATAACTGAAGGTTGATGTTCTATAGTTACCAAAAGTGACAGCTTAATAGCCAAAGAACATAAATGTGCTACAATGTGTTGTCTATAAGTAGAGCTGGCCATTGCTCCCACCATCACAGTGCAAGACCTGTCAGGCATTTCTCCCAGTACAATGAATGGAGAAGATCAGGACTATCTGCAAGAGATAATTAGTGCTTGTGATGTTCAATCATGGCCATTATTACTGAAGTCTTAATTGCTTGGTAATGGGAAAGGAAGCTCAGATTGGTTGCATAGTGAGCTGTTTTCTGGCCTGTAAGGTCAGCCAAAGGCCCAGACAAGTCAGTTATCATCCAGAATGGCAGGTATTTGTTTTCTTTCCTTCCTTTCTTTTCAATGAGTGTTATCTGTTAAATGGGTGGAAATTCTTCATGCATAGAGGAACATTTCTGTCACTTGAAAACTTCAAGTCTCTGATACCATTCATGTAAAGTCTGGGTTGGATTCATACATCCTGCCCTCCCTCCATGCCAGTTCATTTTTTAATGCCTTTTATCTTACTACACTTAACTGCCTCACCATATGCTGGCCCTGCACCAGTAAAGGTTTATCTAAACACTTGAAACAATATAGCAATTATAAAAAATCCTTTGTCATAGTATTTGATCTTGCCATCATTAAATCAGTTAGTTTTGTTTGAAAATTCTTAACTTTTCCTCCAGATCTCCTACGTGAATCAACTCTCAGATGGATTAAACAGGTCTATAGTGTGCCTAGCACATACACATTACAATACGTACAATTTTTTCCTTAAAGTGTTACTTACTAAAAATCCACAGTAAAACATACTCCCTGTGGAACCTAAAAAATCAGTCTGTTTATGCAGTAAAGCATGCTTGATATGCTCCCTGTGGAACCTAAAATCAGTCTGTTTATGCAGTAAAGCATGCTTGATATACTCCCTGTGGAACCTAAGGGGTTAATCCTCTGCATGGTGTAAATGTTTGATCCTGACTTCTCTGATTCTCCCCTTCTTCCAGCACCCTCTTACTTATCTCCTGATAAGCCATATGGTGTAAAGACACTCTGCCCATGCTCAGTTTGGTGTGTATTGCTAGTGAGGTTTTTTTTTTTTTCTTGGAAGAGTGCATGTGATTAGCACAGGGCCTTTTTTTCTTGGGAGAGTGCATGTGATCAGCACAGGGCCAATCAGCACTGTCCAGACAGAGCTCAGGGGTCCTGCATCCTCCTAGAGCAAAATGAAAACTCCTCCTACAAGCTTTAACATGTGCTTGGCTGGACACTGATAGAAGTCACAAGACTGCTCTAACTGCTGATGAGAAAAGATATTTAGAGGTTTATATTTACTAAAATAATTGCATTGCATGTTCTGTATACTGTGGAAGACCAGATATAGTGAATACAGGGTCCTGGGTTTAATAACACTTTAACAAAAACCTCATTTACAGTTTGAATTTTGTTCCGTTAAGATAATTCGTCCACTCTGCTCCTTTGAATTTTTTTACCACCCTGCTGGATTATCATTTTGACCCCAGTAACTATTAGAAAATCGACCAATGTTGCAAAAGCCAACATTTTTGAACAAAGACCTACTAGTGTATGGCCAGCATTAGTATCATACTAACATGAGACAACATCCAGCCAGCTTAAAGCAGTATAAAACCACAAAGCAAATATTAAATTGCAGCTTACCAATTCTTTGGTATGATAGCTGCATAGCTGTTTTTTAGACATTCTTCTATTTGCATTTGGTGATCCAGCCAAAAGTCTGTTTTTCACATGCTCAAGCACTCCAGTAGAATGTATCAGTTTACATGGATGAGACAAAGCATTTAACACTTGCAGAGGTAGTTAAAATGATCAGCTTTAACCGATTCATGTAAAACCTTTATTCCAAAAAGGACAAACACTGTTTGCTCTAACTGCTTAAAAAGTGTTAGCTGGAATTTGGCTTCAATTTGTTAGTAAATTTAAATCTACTAATACATTTACTACTCCCTCCCCCCAGACTGACAATGCTGCTGTCTGCTGTGCCTCCTGTGCTCCTTCATTCAGAGTTTTGTCTCATTAATACAGTAGGTGTGTTACTGGCCAGATCACTCAGGGAAAATAGAGGGAAAAAGCCAAAGAAAAGAAAATGGATGCAGCCACCACATCTATTGATTGGTATATCATTAGATGTGGTGCAATATAATACATTTTTGGTTTAGGATTTAACACATCTTTAAAGCGTTTCTAAAGGCCTTTTTTTTTTAAAGAAAAAATAACAAACATGTCTATACTTACCTGCTGTGTGCAGTGGTTTTGCACAGAGCAGCCCAGATCCTTCTCTTCCTGGGTCCCCACCGATGCTCCTGGCCCCTCCCTCCTGTCGGATGCCCCCACAGAATGCTTTGGGGGCACCCGCTGCTCCGTGTGTCCATTCTCACATGGAGCCGCAGCTCGGCCCTGCCCCCTCTCTCTTCTCATTGGCTCACTGCCTGTGATGGACAGTAGTGGGAGCCAATGGCTCCTACTTCTGTCTTAGCCAATGAGAAGAAGGAGTCCCTGGATAGCCAAGATTCCTGTGCACATCGCTGGTTCGAGAGGGGGCTTAGGTGGGTATTAGGGGGGCTGGAGGTGATGCTGCACACAGAAGGTTTTTTACCTTCATGCATAGAATGCATGAAGTTAAAAACCTTCAGTCTTTACAACCGCTTTAAGGAGAAGTATACCTCTGCATCAGTACACCTACAAATAAAACTTAAAAAAAACAGGGTTAAAGTGTTACTAAACCCACAACAGTAAAATCAGTCTGTATATGCAGTAAAACATGCTTGTTACACTCACTGTGGAACCTAAGGGGTTAATCCTGTGCATAGTTTAAAAATGCTGTTTGATCCTGTCTTCTCTGATTCCCCCTTCTTCTATTGTCCCCAGTCAGCACTGTCCAGACAGAGGGTCAGGGGTCCTGCAGCCTCATAGGGGAGAATGAAACTCCTCCAACAAGCTTTAACCTGTGCTCGGCTGGACACTGATAGAAGTCACAAGACTGCTCTAACTGCTGATGAGAAAAGGTATTTAGCAGTTTATATTTACTGAAATAATTACATTTCCATGTTCTGTGTACTGTGGGAGACCAGCTATAGTGAGTGCAGGGTCCTGGGTTTAGTAACACTTTAAATCTAATGGTGGCCATACATATTTTGATTTATTTTAAACAATCAATATCAAAGGGATCAAAGTGGAAAAAAAATCAAATAGTCATAACTTTCCTTCTGATCTATTTAGACTCAATTTGAGTTAATCAGCCTGAGTGAAAAATTATTCATAATTGTGCATCAATCAGCAGCACTGAGATACTTTGGTCATGAATACTATCATTTTTTGAGTGCTCAAACTATTAGATTACATGGTGGAAAAAGAGATGTGCTTGATGACATACGATTAGATCTTAACTATCGCTCGAAATCCACGTGTCATATTGATTGAATGGGTTGTCGACTATAGATTGATTATTTTCATTGTAAGGGAGCGATCGGAAAAGAAAGCAGTCATTTATCAACGTGTGTATGGACACCAATGTTATACTACTGATCCTGTTGCTGGCAAGAAGTTGGAACAGTAGGGAATAGAAATACTCACGTGTTCAAATGTATCACTCCCTTGCCAGTTGGATGATTGATTTGTTGTTCTCTCACTGGCCACATATATGGAGCAATGTATTTGTCAGTGAGGTGTTGACTCCTTGCTCATCTAGCTGGCGGGAGATTTACCTACAGTATATAAGCAGGTGAGAGTTTTTCCTACACATTTTAGCTATCCTGATTCTGGAGAATTCTCACCAGTGACATAATTGCACGTGTGATATAGGCCATACTCTGATCTTCTAGAATTTTGGTTGTAGGTGTGCAGTCCCAGAGTAGGTGAACAGTAAAATACACAGACTGTGCAGGGAAAGCAACAATGAGGACTCCAGGGGATTGTTCTGGCAGGCAGGATGGCGGTCTAGTTATACATGCCACTGGGGAAATTTACTAAAACTAGAGAGTAGTGGTTAATGATTCATACTCTGAATGGTCTAGGATTGTTAGTGGTGTACCCCAAGGTTCAGTGTTGGGACCCTTATTTTAAAATATTTTTAAACGATATAGAGTCTGGGATTAAAAATACCATTTCAGTCTTTGCAGATGACACCAAGTTGTGCAGTGGAATAACGTCCTTACAGGATGTCTCCAACTTACAAGCTGACCTCAATGCACTGTTTAATTGGGCAACTATGTGGCAAATGAGGTTTAATGTTGATAAATGTGAGGTTATGCACTTGGGGGCTAAGAATATGCATGCATCATACATACTAGGGGGAGTACAACTGTGGGAATCAATGGTGGAGAAGGATCTGGGAGTTCTGGTAGATCACAAGCTTAATAATGGCATGCAATGCCAAGCTGCAGTTTCTAAAGTGAGAAAAATCCTCTCTTGTATTAAAAGAGGTATAGACTCCAGAGAGAGAGATATCATATTACCCCTGTATACATCATTAGTAAGACCTCATCTGGAATATGCAGCTCAGTTTTGGGCACCAATTCACAAAAAGAACATTGGGGAACTGGAGAAGGCAGAGCAGGGCAACCAAACTGATAAGAGGCATGGAGGAGCTCAGCTATGAGGAAAGATTAGAGGAACTGAACTTATTCTTTCTTGAGAAGAGAAGATTAAGGTGGGATATGATCAACACGTATAAATACATCAGTGGTTCATATAGTGAACTCGGTGTAGAGCTAGCCACCCTGAGGTCATCACAGTGGACAAGGGGGCACTCTTTACGTCTGGAGGAAAAGAAATGTAATCTCCAAACACGGAAAGGTTTCTTCACAGTGAGAGCTGTGAAAATGTGGAATAGACTCCCTCAAGAGCTGGTTCTGGCCAGCTCAGTGGATTGCTTTAAAAAATGCCTGGATTCTTTCTTAGATGCACAGAATATAACTGGATACTAACATTTATAGGTAAAGTTGATCCAGGGAATATTCAATTGCCTCTCACTGGATCAGGAAGGAATTTGTTCACCTGCAGGAGCATGCTTTTCTGTTTTTTTTGCCTTCCTCTGGATCACCTGTGGGTGTAGGATTATAACTTTTTTTTAGTGTAACTGGATGGACTTTTTCAGCCAGACTAACTATGCAACAAAAAAAAAATGGAGCACTCAGAATCTGATGCAGCTGTGCATGCTAGCCAATCAGCTTCTAACTTCAGCTGGTTGAATTAAGCTTTGACAATAAAGCCTGGAAGTTGAATGGTTTCTATGCAGAGCTGCACCAGATTTTGAACCATGCAGTTTTAGTAAATCACCCTCACTATGCTACTGACACTTAACAACATGTTGTGTGGGTTGGTGTTTGCTGACCTAGACCACTGTCTAAAGTGAATACACATAAATCCAGCATTAACCTATCTTTGTGAAAAAAGGCATAAAAAAAGTTTTAATCAGCAAGAATGCACTACTGTTTTGTTAAATTGCTAGCACCTTGTTTACTTGCCAAATGATAAAAAAAGGAAAAAAAAAAGCATATCTGGAGCATATGGTTTGCGGTTACAGAGTTTCATCTTGATATTTCACAGTAGTCTTCCTTTCATATGTAAAAGATGTGAAAATAACTAAATTCTAACTTTGATATTATCTGTCAGTGATTGTTGATCAAATAACAGCATTCAGTAGGGAACACCCAAACTGTGCATGAAACAGAAAGGTACATTTTGTTTATTGCTTTATGCAACTCAATGCCTATACTTGGCAAAGTAGCAGGGACAGATCCCTTTCTAGTTTTGACTTCCCAAACAAGTCCCTTTGTAGCTGAGCTTGAGCAAAGCCATTGTCCACTCAAGCACTGAGCACGGCTTTATAGATGGCAAGGGGGATGTCACATCTTCCCCCGTATCCAAATGTGTTGAGTATTTTTTGGGTGGTCAAGCAGTGGAGGTTGGGAAGCTTGGCTACAGTCCACTTTTGGCCATTTCTGTAATGTAAACCTGTATTAGATGTGTCGTTCCTTTAATTCTGAATTGAAATTCAGCTGAATTTTTCGTTATTCGGAGATTTGGATGTATCCAAATTTCTGAATTTAAAATAGTAACGAATTTAAACAAATCCAAAATAACGGAACTTTGTCTGAAATTCAAATCAAATTTTAAAAAAATTTAGTTCAAAAACAAGAAAAGAGTAGAACAGATTAGAAAATAAAGGACTAGAATAGAAAATAAAAAAATGGAAAAGAATATAATAGAAAATAAAATAATAGAATAGAAAAGAATAAAGAAACAGAACAGAATAGATAATAAAATAATAGAATAAGACAGAATCTAATAGAAAATAA